CCCCAAAACCCCAAAACCCCTAAGTTGCATTATTTATATGATTTTAGAATTCTCATAATTAATTAAGTTTTAGGAATAATAATTATTATTATAGCAATAATGGATAACTATAATCTAAGACAGACAGATACAAGTGACGCTCTTTTATTTAAATCAGAATCTATTTTAGAGGAGAGAAAGTGGGGAGGAGACCCTTTCAAATAAGACTAAGACTTCGGCTATCAATCATCTAGGAGGAGTAGCAATGGAGGATTTTTCCATGGTAAGATAAAATAGGCTAGCAAGAAGGGGAAGAAGTCTGAAAATGATATGCAATTTACGGCATCTATCGATTTATTCGAACAAAAGCTTCGCATCAAGCTAGATGACTCACACAGACAGGGAGCTAACTTAGCAGGCAGGGAAATCCTTCATGACTTTGGTTTGAGAGATATCCTGAGTGCAAGACAGGACGAGGAAGACGGCAAGATTATGCATTTGTGGACTTTTAAGAGACATAAACTAGCCAAGAAGTGCTGTGGAAGTAAGAGCAGGTACATTAGGAAGCTAGAGGTAAGTCAACTTACATCAAGTCAAATTTAGAAAATATAGCATCTATCTCGGGTGAAGAGATGCATCGATATGATTCATTAATTTGATGCATGAGCAGGATTATTAATAAATAATTTAGGATTTTTAATTGGTTGGTGAGTCTGATAAAAAGACTAGAGAGTGGTGTATAATAATCTAGAATGCTGCCGAAGGTGCTCCCTAATCTGATGGTAAACATAAGAAAATAGTTTTGATATTTTTAATAGAATTTCCTAAAAAGAGAAGAGTATTAGTGCTAGTGAATCCATTTTCAGGCAGAAGACTGGCTGCAAGAATGTGGGAAATAGCAAGACCCATTTTGGAGAAAGCGCATATTGACATGAAAATAGTGATGACTGAAAGAGCTGGTCATGCCTATGATATGGTTAATTTAGAGATTAAGCAAGGTGACTATGATGGAATAGTCACTGTAAGCGGAGATGGACTGATACACGAGGTAGTTAATGGGCTTTATCGTAGACAGGATAGGCTTCAGTTAATGTCAACTTTGAGCTTAGGGTTTATCCCTGGCGGTTCAGCTAATGGATTGGTTAAGGCTGTGCTTTCTTATGCAGAAGAGGAGTACTCAGTTCTTAATGCTACATTCTTAATAGCTAAGGGCAGACAGATGAAGATGGATTTAACTGAGATTGAAGGGGAATACCAGAAGGAGAAGATTTATTCCTTTTTGTCTCTATTTTGGGCTATCTTAGCAGATTGCGATATCAATTCTGAGGTGTTTAGATGCTTGGGGCCAGCCAGATTTACAATTTGGGGAATCTATAGAATTATGTGTACCAAAAGATACGCAGGATCAATTTACTATACTGGCTAGCAGCTGAGATCAAAGCATGACTTAAATAGTCTTAATGAAGATGAGTTCTCTCCTGACTTGCCTGAATTGAGTGAAGAGCCAGTGAGGCATGAAGAGAATCCTGATGAATATTGCTTTAGAAACCTTCAATTCAGTCATGTACTTATATAGAACACTCCTTATATTGGAAGCTCACTGCACACAGGTCCATTATCTACTCTTAATGATGGCTATAATGACATGATAACTCAGACAATATAAGCGGGTAAATGTGCCTTAGGAAAAATCCTTATAGATGAAGACAGTGGTGCATACTTTGATAAGAGAGGAAATATCAAGCCATCTCTTCACATCAAGTACACTAAATGCAAAGCTTGGAGAATAGATCCATTAGTTAAAGGACCAAGACCGGAAAACAACAATAATGGCATACCTGAGTCAACACCTCTGACCAGAAATGAAAGTCTTGATCCTAACAGGAATGCTCTCCAAGAAGAGTCCAAGGAATCTGGATAGATTTAGAGTAGCAAGAATTCTGATATGAATTTCAACAAGAGTGGAGATGCAAATAAGATTTACAGGTACAGCTAGGATGCAATATTCTCAATCGATGGAGAAAAGTACCCCGCCCAAAAAGTTCAGGGCAGAGTTCTCAAAAGTGCACTCCCAATTTATTGCTGACACCACTCGCACTCCTCATCATTTGATCATAAATTTGACCAGTTTTTATCGCCTAATTTTATTTGTTAACATAATTTCATTCGTTCAACAACAAAAATTCATTTTCTTGGGGTTTTGGGGTTTTGGGGTTTTGGGG